GGAAAGAGACTCATAAACTACACATGGTACTGGAATGGGAACTGTGGCTGCATGGATGCCTGATGTGCCTATTATACAAGGCGTAAATATCTGAAGCATGAATGAAGACAACATACTGACACAGAGCACTGAGGCCTGATCTGAGGAAAAAACCCAAAGCTCCCCTATGCAAAAGAAGGCATATGGTCAAGGCCAAATGCAATTTTTTTCTCTTTTTGTCAATGGGCAACAAGAGCAATAAAAATACATTAACGGATGAAATTGGCTACAAGGACTAAATTGCAGCCTAAGGACAACTGAAAGCCTGGTCTCGAGTCTAAGGTGATTAAGAAAAACAGAAGTAAGAAGTGCACATTGACCTTTCAGCCCTTTGTGCAGAGCTTAAGTGGCAGGGCACATATGTGCTGTATAGATTTGGCTTAGGCAGAGACCAGGATCAAACATACAGCCTGAATGCCCATTCAGAGAGAAATATGCATGTGGGCAAACATAAAACAAAAATGTCTAATTCTTCAACTGCCTCAGCTGTTCCACATATTAGATAAACTGGGGTTTCCAACTTGCATCAAGGGTCTGTGCAGCAACTGAGATTACCTGGAGCACATGTGCACCATGCCCACCAGTCACACTCATCTTCCATCTGCATACCTTGCAATATAGTCAAATAAGAGGCAGCTTTTTTCTGACGTGGCTCACTTTGGGGAATGGCAAGCCAGCAGGGAGGAAGGGGGAAATACAGTGAGTCAGAGGTGGCTTTCACTCCTTCAGCACCAACAAAACAGAACAGAGAACCTGCCCCCCAAAACTGACTGTAGTTGCCTGACGCTTTGAAATACTTTCAGCATTTAGGCTGAAGAGGCTGGATGCCTTAACATTTGCTTAAAGTGCGCCAGTGCCTCTATATACCCAAGGAAGCTCACCTCCCCCCTCCCACTTTCTCCAAGATAACTCCTTTAAGCCCCTACTGCCAGATTAATGTAATACACAGACCCCCTGTCCATATAACTCCAGTGCCAGCCCCATATCTGTTTATCACACCACCATCACAAACTTAGAGCTCTAAGACATCTCCTTGCTGATCAAGTTTCAGACCCTGGAAGTCTTAATGTGAAGAAGGATCCATGTTTATCACCTACCAGAGACAGAGTTTCCGTACATCATCCTGCTAACCATGCTCATGGCTTCCATGATTTTTACAGAGAAGTTGTAGGCATCTTGCAGATACTGCACCAACATCTCCTGCTTGACCATTTCTGATGCTAGCTGCTCCACTAGTGCAAGATCTTCACTTTCAGTATTATCACTGTCATTCAAAGGCTTTGGGACACAGTTTTTTAGGTGGGAACCTACACAGTGAGATGATAAGTCCATGAACAGAGCTGGCAACTTAAGTGAAATGTTCACAATTGGATGGCATTTTGTCACATCTCCCTTCAACCCACTGACCTTGGTCAAGATCTAGCAGTCCCCATTCCAAGAATATAAAACACCATTGACCATAAATCACCATTAAGCAACCAAAATGGATTGCCAGTATAGCTCCAGTGTTCTCCACTGAATCAATGTAAACTGGCAGGCATCAAGAACAAGATTGTGATATGCTGTTACGGGTTATGAATCTGAGGATATGGACATGTAAATAATTACCGTAATGTGAAAAGGAACACAGCGTTATTGCATATCAGCTGCTCTGCAGTAATGTCCTCATACGTGCTCTTACCACATGAGAAGTGGGCTACCTACCAGAGTTTACTCCTCTTTCACTAAGGGGTTAAAATCTAGTTACCTTGATGTAAGAGGATGCAGATAAGCAGTAACAGAGTAAAGCAGCATCCCCCTTTTATCCTGCATAACCTGTGCCCTGAAAACATCATGACTGTCACTTGGAGGGAAGTGAATCTGATTCCTGGAGGAATTCAAGGTAGAGGAGAACCAATTCCCATTGGCTAGGTTCTCTCTGGGTGTGCGGTGATTGGTAAAAGGAACATTCAGGAGTTTAGATTAACCCCTACTGATGGCCCCCCAAGGGAAGCTGAGACTGACGGCACACAAGCCCCAGAAAGCTGCTGTTCTGACATAATGATAGAGTAACTGAGTGGAACTGAAAGGACTAAAGTTCAAGTATGAGGAAAGCAGGACTTTTTTTAGTTCAGGGGTGCTCAACCCTCAGTTTGTGGGCCAGATTCAGCCCCAGGAGCCATGTCATCTAGCTCGGGGGAGTTCCCCATGAGTCTGAAAATTTGATGGCATGGGATTGGTGGCAATGTTATCTGCCACACCCCTGCTGCCAAATTTCTGAACCTCTGGGAAGTGCTGCAGACTGGATAGCATGACCCCGAATGCTAGATTGGGCATGCAGGATAGTGAGGGGCCTGATCCCAGTTCACAGGAGTGCGCAGAGGCGGTGTGAGGCCTGATTCAGGCCCATGGGACCCACTTTTGCCATGCGGGGCCCTATTCAGGTATGTGGGGCTGGGTGGAGGTAGCGCAGGGCCCAACCCTGATGCACAGGGCCCAATCCAGCCCACAGACTAGCCCCATATCACTTTTGGTACCACAGGTCTGAAAAGATTGAGCACCGTTGGTTTAGTTCAAAGTTGGTTCGATTTGGGAGGTCTGTCAAAGCCACGACGAGGAAAATACTGCAAGATCATAGCTCTAGGCATAGTGGCACAGAAAAAGCCAGGATGGGGGCAAAAGAAGCTGGGTGGGTGTACTCACTTCAGGGGCCACTGAGGCTTTAATACTCTAAAAGGGTGGTACTGACATATGATGAGATCAGAGGACCAATTCATCATGACAACAGACCCAAGTCAGTCTTGAAGAAGTGTCCAAGCAGACTAATTTAAGAGAGAAGTTTTGACAGAAAGGCAGATCACTTATTCTCTATAGCATTTTGATTGAAGACCAAGGAACTGACTGACCCAGGGCAGGTACCTGTGTAGAGTGCCTTCAAGATGCCCAAGATCATGGCTTCCTTGTCATCCTTCAACTCGGAAGTGCTGATGAAGGGCTCTATTCCTTGGAAACAGCTCACAGCCTCCTGTGTAAGGCAAACAGCAGCCCTGGCAGAGGGGGTGCAAAACAAAACATCATCTACCAAATGAAAAGAATCAGAGTTTTAAAAAAAAAACCTAAAATGAAAAAACACTCCCACATCAGATTCTTCCAGCTTTGCCCCTGGATCCACACCTAACTTACAAGTGGAAGCTTCTAAAGTATTGCCTCTGCCCAAAAGTGCAATGTCCCCACTCACTTATAATTTAGCTTCCTCAGTAACTGGATAATTTGCTCTGCTGTATCCTGTGCAGTGTCCTCAACCTCTACTGCCACCTCTCTCTCCTCTTCTCCCTGTTGTGGATGAAGGAGCTGTTGCACCGTGGCCTTGAGCTCTGGCTGCATTGCTTCCCACTCCTCCTCTGGTGTAATTGCTAATGCTATAAGAAAAAAGACATGCAAACCTAGTGATACAGACTCAGACTAGAATCGGAGAGAAGGAAGCACAGCTGGGAAGAAGACCTGTACTTCCCCCTTATATCTACATAGCATACATCATCCCTGTTGGCTGGTCTAGCCATGCCTTCCTTCCCTCACTAAGTGTAAGACTACTGTGACTTCAATAGAAGGTAGAATAAGTTGAAAGGAATGTCAGCTGTGAGGACACAAGATATCCACTGAAAAGAGCAGAAGAGAAGAAGTTACCAGATGCAGCCCTGTGTTTGTCCCTCATTTCATGCAGCTTCTGCATTTCCTTCTTGAGCGGCTCAGCCAAGTCAGAACAGCTTATCTGGGGATATCAAGAAAAGCAATATAGGGGATATTGCACTCTTTATACTCCATATTCTTAAGCCCTGAAATCCTCCTTGTTCACCCACAGCTTGAATTCAGCTCCCGATGAAATACCTTAAAGACATAGTGGGACAAAGTCCCAAAGCCCAAACCCCACATTTCAGAGGAACAGCCCCCTACAGCAGACTCAAATCAACTTGGTGCAGGCTGTAAGCAGAGCCAAGAGCCATATACTCTGACCATGTCAGAGTCCAGCATACACAAAAGTGCATCAGGGAATGTAAGACACACATTACAGCACCTGAATCTTGGGAAAAACTAGGTCTCTAAATCTGAGCCTGATTCACAGCCAAAAAGTGCATGAACATTTGACAGCACAGAGATGCTGGTGCTCGTGCCTCAAAGGAGGAGCATGAATTCCCAACAAGCTATACCTAGGGATCTATGCAATTCAAGGCAGTCGATATTGCAGAGAGATTGCAGTCAGCCACCATTTCTGTGGGCTGAATGCAGCACCCACCCCATGACACTGATTGGCCAAGAGCCCCCTCCCCCGCACTGATTGTTTGTGAGGGCTGTCTGTCATGCAGCCCCTCCCCTTGCCAGCAATTGTAGGGGGAGAAGCCACATAACAGACATCCCTCTCAGCGGCACTAGGGGCAGGGGTAGCAGGTGGTGGCTGCTAATTTGGGTGCTCTTTCATGCCCTCAGGCCCCCTTCTGCCCAGCTGGGCTGCAGTGCTGTGAGAACTGCTGGCTCCCTCTGGGGAGCTAGCATTTTATTTTCAGTAAGGTGGGTTTTTTGGTTTTTTCTTTTTTTGCAGTCAGCCTGCCAAAATTGCAGAGCCCATTTTTTGCAGAGCCCACCATTTTCTCACGAAGTCCACCCAATTTCACAGTTTCCATGAAAAACGTGCAATCACAATTTCAGTAGGTCCCCAACTATAAGGGTTTACCTTGCAGGAGAAAGGGTTGTTGGAAAGAAATGCAGCCAGCAGCTGGACAGCATTCTTCACCACCATCACTGACTTGTCTTGGAGACGGCCAACTGCCAGACACACTACTGTCTGGAATCGAGTCAATGGCAGGGCCTACACCAAGAAAAGGGAAGAGAAGTTACCCAGAAGCCTTACATGCATATAAAAGTCACTTACTGCAGTAATGGGAGCTCCTTGAAAGGTATTGTTGATAAGTACATGCTGCAGAGGGTGAGCATGCATTTGAGCTCAGAGACATTTTGCTCCACTAGCATCTTCATGACATGCATGAACCTTGCTTGCATTCATTTGTTCCAACAACATAAAGGTGTGCATAGTTCCCACTGTTTAGTTTCCTCTCTGCTGCAGCACCCCAGAATGTTAGGGAATCAGAGGAAGAGGATAGAAGGTGCAGTTCAGGATGTATTTGTGGATAACAAACTGAAGAACCCCAGTTGCTGTAGCTTCATCTGATCTAAAAGTGTCAGTGGTGGTGCAATGTTTGAAGGTATGCTTCAATCTCCAAGCAGCTGCCTCACAGATGGGAAGTAGGCACCAAGTTGAAGGGGAGACACCTGACATGGTGTCCAGAAAACATTGGTTCACATTTGTCCAAATCTATGTTGCTCCTATGTCTGAAATGGGCCAAGTGGCTGCCAAAGGGAGGAGAACTGAAATCCTAGGTGATGGACTGCATCTCTCAACTGTACTATCAAATGGTCTGGCTGTGATCCAAGGAACAGTGACAGGTTGTTGAGAAAGGCTGCTTCCCCAATGAAATACTCCCTCTCTCGGTGGTACAAGAGGTCTACATAAATAGCACAAACATGCAGCTGCCTAGGTAAGTCATCTCTGGTCTTACTCCAGTCAACATCCTTATAGGCTTGGCAGTGGTATGTTGGCTAGCACTATGGAAGAAAGAGACTTGGGGGTCATCATTGACCACAAGATGAACATGAGCCTGCAATGCGATGCTGCGGCTAGTAAAGCGACCAAAGCACTGGCTTGCATCCATAGATGCTTCTCAAGCAAATCCCGGGACGTCATTCTCCCC